AGACTGGCTATGTGGATTGGCTGCACCAAGGCCATACTCCTTAAAAGCCTACTGGTTAAGGCAGCTGGATCCCATATAGCCAGCTGCATGGTTCGAGTCCCAGACCGGGCAGCTTGAAGAACACACCAGGTGCATGTGTGCCCAAAATCCCAAATGAGGGAGAGATGGAGGAGAAAGCCCCATGGGGGGTGTCCTCTTATTTTCTCTCTCATTCTGTTGCTCTGGGGCCTTTGTGCCCTCTGGCAAATTACAAAAAGTAAAATGAAGAAACCTAATATTGCAGAAGGCAGGACTGAGTGACAGGGAGGACAAAGCCTCCTGCACCTCGGGTGCCAGCCCTTGCAGGCACTGCAGAGCTACCAGGAATGTAGAGCCGGGCCTCTCGAGCTGGCCCTCTGCTTATGCGTTTAACAGACGCTGTCCTCACTGCGTGTTAGGGGAGGACAGTGAGCTACCAGCAGTGAGTACTGGCAGTGAGAGGGGATGCCATTGCTAAGGCAGGAGTAATCAGGGGAGGCTGCCTGCACGAGGGGTCTTTGCAACATGGCAGGACTTTCCTGTTTCCATAGTTGTAAGCAGAATCAGGTGGTGGGCCTTCCCTGTAGAAGGAGAAAGGGCATTTTCCTACAGCACTGTGACTGTCTAGAATTGTTTCCCCACCCTGCCCTTGGGATAAATTCATTCTCCCAACCCTCCTGGTCAGGGAGGATGAGGGCCTCTGTGCAAGAACTTCCTACTCCTTGAGCATTTGGCTCAGCTGGTGTGATTTGTCCAGGGGGAACAAAGGGTGCTGAGGGCAAGGCAAGTGAGGTGCTGGGGTGGGAAGCACTTTTCCCAAGGGGCAGGAGCAAGCCAAAGCTGGGGAGGAGATGGACACCAGGTTTTGGAGACCATGGCACAATCGGAAGGACTCCCAGCTTGCCGTGATCAGATTTGCATTTTACAAGATGACTTTAGCGGCTGGGGGTGGGGGGAGCAGCCACCGGGCGGGCGCTGCCGTCTTACCTGGGAAGTCTGCTGGTGGTGCAGCTGCCCGCGGTGCCCGTGGGAGGAGAGGAGTGGAGGCCCTGGAGGCAAGTGGAAGTGGTATTGACAGACTTGGGCTGCCCGATTGCTGCATGGGGTCGCAGTGCGAGGGTGGCCTCATAGTTCTGTGGTCCCCGGTGCTGGCGATTTGAGAGATAGCGAGACCTTCTTTGACCTTGAGTGCACCTGGGGAAACTGCCAGGTGAGAACTGAGCCCTTTGACCTGAGGTCCTGTGAGCTGTGGTAGCTCCTCAGCTTGCTGTGAGAGTAACAACCCCAGAGGCAGCTGCGTGCCCACAGGATGGCGCTGTGGATGCCCTCACGGGCGGGGCTGTGATTCCT